ATGATCTAAAGGGTATCAAAATTTACAAAAAAAAGCTTAGTATTTATTTGTTTACTTTATTAAACATTTCCTTCAATGTAAGTTGTTTAAGTTCTTCCTTTTATGTGATAATACTTTCTCTTTAATTCTATAAACAGACATAATTTCTTGTTCAGTTGCAAAGTTCTGCTGTTCAAGTCCTGTGAATACCGACTAATTTGTCAATCGAAATTTTTTTGTTTTCAATAACCTCTGCCTAACTTTCTTCACTTCGGAAGCAAATTATAATGACGAGGATTTTGATTTAAATCATATCAAAGACGGAGTACATCGAGATGAAATACTACATTTAGTAAGGAATTATAAGCCAAATAAAATAAAAACATCTGCCCTGAAGATAAAGATAGTGCTGACAGATCAACTTCCAATTCATTTCGCGCCACGGCGTTTCTCCCTCCCCCCCCTGCCACAGAGCAGCGTGAAATTGATAAACAGATTTTGGAATGGTTAGATAAACGAAGGATATGCCTTTATCCACTTTTTGCAGCAATTCCACTTTTTGTTTGATTGACATTGAAACATACTTTCGCTTTGTAGATCCTTTGGGAGCTCTAGCATCAGAAATTCTATTTGACATAATCGAAAGTTCAAGCTTACTTTTATAAAATTGCTCTAACAGTCTGCAAAAGATAATAAGCCGGATCCAATTCGAAGATTAAGGAACAACACAATCTGCAACATTAACTGAGATAATTAGATAATTTTAACTTATATCGTCCGTTATACATTAAACGCGCATACGTGAATGTATTATGCGCACACACATATGCGCAGCCGTAAAGGTCTTATGTGCACGGCTGAACGCCTATGCGCATGCATCAACGCAACGCATGCGCAGAAAGTTTGTAGCTTTGAGGTCCGGATTATGGGTGTCCGAATTAACGACTTTTGACTGTATTTAGTTATCAACTTGAACATTAATTAGTTTTATTATTTCTTCCTTTAAATCTTCTATTTCAGTACATATATTTTTTATTCTGATTATTTGGCTATGAAACGTGTTTTCTATTACTTTTCTAGATATATTAGAGTTCCAATTAATTAGCTTAATAGTATGAAAATGAAAATTCCTTCTTTTATCATATAATTTAATTTTGCTGTGTTTAATAATTGACAGGTCTAGGTATTCAATAGTATCTTTATATATATATATATATATATATATATATATGAGGGAGTCGGTCATTTTCCCTGTTGACTTCACAGCCCTCCTTTGCACCTACTACATGACATTTGTGAAGGACTTTTCTTGCACCACAAGGCATCTTCATAGATTGCCAGAAAGCAAGCAAATGTTCTTGTGGACAAAAAAATATGTGAAAGTTTTTAACATCAGCGCCAATCCTAGCATATACAGTCAAAAGTCGTTAATCCGGACTCGTCGTGACTTCGCCGATTCCGGATTATCGATTTTTCCGGATTATAGATCACCAGTTTAAATCTCGTAAGATGGCATGCAGAAATTCTAAAATTAAAAATATGAAACCGTAATTTATGAAATAAAGAACAATTATGATCTAAAGGGCATCAAAATTTAAAAAAAAAAAAAAAAAAAAAGCTTAATATTTGTTTGTTTACTTTATTAAACATTTCTTTCAATGTAAGTTGTTTTGTGTTATGTGATAATACTTTCTCTTTAATTCTATAAACAGACATAATTTCTTGTTCAGTTACAAAGTTCCGTTGTTCAAGTCCCGTAATTGCTGTGCCGAGAATACCGACTAACTTGTCAATCGAAATTTTTTCGTTTTCACTAACCTCTCTGTCACCTTCTTCATGTCTTTATCCATTCTTTGCAGCAATTCCACTTTTTGTTTGATGGACATCGAAACATGCTTTCATTTTGTAGAACCTTTGGAAGCTCCAGCATCGGAAATTCTATTTGACATAATCGAAAGTTCAAGTTTATTTTTATAAAATTGCTCTTACAGTCTGCAAAAAATAATAAGCTGCATCCAATTCTGAGGTCCGGGTTATAGATCATTCCGGATTATGGGTGTCTGAATTAACGACTTTTGACTGTATTCTTCACTTGACAAGCTTTTTATTCTTGGCACAGGTTCAAACAATGAGAGTATTGGGGCTGTTTTGTCGCAAGACATGAACGGTCAAGAACATGTCATAGGATACTAGAGCAAATGTCTATCTGAACAAGAAAGAAATTACTGTGTCACTGAAAAGATGTTCTCACCATAGTTAAAGACATAAAACATTTCCACTATTATCTCTACGGCAGAAAATTTGTTTTCCTTATGGGTCATGCATCATTCACCTGGCTAAATTTCAGGAATCCCGAAGGGCAAATATCCAGATAGATGCAGGGACTCCAGGAATATGATATTCCTCTCCGCCATCAGAGAAGATTGTCACACAGAAATGCCAACGCCCTTCCTAGAAAGCTGCCGATATTGTTCCGGGGTTGAAGCAAAATATAATCTGTTTTGCCTGATCATACATCAAGTTACAAATTCAGGATCCTCTGATCATTACCCATGAAGTGACAAGACCCAGTTTCAAAGGAAGATGGCAATATTAAATCAATAATTGTGTTAATGAAGTCTTCAAATATGAAACCTATCTTACAGAATGTTTCAATATGAATGTTTCAACGTTTTCTGTGGCAAAATAATATTGGGCTTTGTGGGACTCACTGTGGGATTTGAGCAGTGGTGTAGCTAGGGGGGGGCAAGGGGGACATCCGTCTCCGGCTGCAGCATCCAAGGGGTGCCAAATTGATGATATGCACTTCAGAATGAAATGTTTTCCATTCTTGGAACACAGAAAGGGGCGCAAAATCCTTAGGTGTCCCCAGGCGCTTAAAACCTTAGCTATGCCTCTGGATTTGAGATGCCACCTTGCACCAAATTCAGTGAAAGAAAGGCATTCTGGGGGCAGCTGATACTTAAAAGATGCATTATCCCAGATGTCCTTAAAGAACTACATAGCAGTCCAACAGGAGGCCATGTTGGAATATTGAAGACTAGATAGAGTTCAAGAGTACTTTTACTGAAGTTATGGAAGAGCTGGCATGCAAAATTGATGTAAATCTTGCGATGCCCGTGGTAGGTTGGAAAGAATCGAAGAGCAGCTGAGGGAAGCTGCGATGTTACAATGTAATAGCATCTTTTCAATGCATCATCTTCTCGATGATATCCTGCAATATCTGCCACGATGCAGCCTGATCTGGCCACAAAATGGCCTGAAGTGTATACTATGTTTGAACAAGATTGTGTTACAGCATTGGATTTCCATGTTTTGAGTGCCTCTTCAGTGACATTCCTATCAAGGAGGAATTTTATCTTGGCTGTAATTAAAGAACTCTAGAAACTACTCGGCATAGGCAAACTCAAACAACACCATTACATCCAGAATCAGACAACATGGTACAGAGGTTTGAACCATCCTTAGTGACCTCTCACTGAAGATTTCCAGAAATCAACAGAAATGGGATTAGAAAGTACCTTTTTTCTTACTGAACTATTGCAGTTCTGTTCTCGAGAGTGCCAGGTATTCCCCACCTCAGATACTGTTCATTTGGGTCCTTTGTCTGCCTTATGATCTCTTGTTTGGTTGCCTGAGGAGTACACTCAAGATTTTCAAGCAGGATTTGAAGTGATGCACAATTTTGCCTGAGAGCAAGTCAACTTAGCAACAGAGAAGATGAAGACCCGATAGGGCAGAAGAGCTACAGGACGTTGATTCAGCAAAGATGACAAGGTGTGGTTATGGAATCTGATTCGATGAAAAGGGCTTCCTCCTAAACTACAGCTATCATGTAATGGTCTTTATACAGTCCTAAACAGGCTGATTGAAATCATAATTCAGGTCCATAAGTTATCAAATTCTAAGTCTAAAATAGTTATTCTAAGTCTAAAATTGCTAGCTTCTTACTATGACCATAGTGCATAATCCCCATAGTGTGTATAATGTAAATAATATGCTAAAACCATGGTCCCATTTGTACCTAAATTTTAAAATTTGTGCATTTATTTATTGATTTAGTATTTGATTTTTTGCATGGAATTTATTAAAATTACTGTTTTAATATTGCCTTGATTTTTCTTTGTTATAAGTATGGCTTCCTATCCAGGGATTATATTGCCTGGGATGTGCAGATTTGGGGAAAGAGACAATGTTATGAATTTTATATAATGTAACATGGAAAGTGTGAAGAGACTGAAGCTCTGTCAGAAAAATAAGGTTACAAGGGCAAGTCTTGTTAACTTATGAATCTAGTCTATGAAGTAAATGGCTATCTCACTATATTGGTGAGATATAGCAAAGCCAGCAAAATTTTTGGTAACTAATTTTTCTCGTCAAATTTGGCAAAAATTCACTGCACATTCCAAGCATTTGGTGACATTTTGGTCTTGTCCCCATATAACTGTAATTGGATAATTGCAGTTGATCCCTATATGTTACTGCAACTGTATCCAAACATTATATGTAACTTTAATATACTTTCCATTAATTTCAAGAAATATTAGGTACTGGAAATTTCTCGGTGGCTGGGGAAAAACTATACTATAAGACCAGGAAGAGCATCAGTTTCTTAGTTGAGAGTTGACTTCAGAGTATCATGAGATCTCTATGTGAGCTTTGCTTTTTAGATGTGCTTTTAATCACGTTTTGTCACTTTCTTAATAGTTTGAAGTGGTAACGACTGATTGTGCTCTGCCATGTTGAGAAGAGTTATACAAGTTCTTTTGTGGAAAGTACTAAAATTGTGAAATGTTTCTTTTGAGAAAATAAATTTTATCAAGCTATCATCAGTTCTGTGTGCATTCAATCTATTACAAACATGTATGCAAGTAGCAATATCATGTGTTTCAATATTTGCAGCTGTTCCATTTGTGTATAAAATTAGTTATATGTTCTATAAATTATGTTACAGTTTGTGCAAAAAGTTATCTGTATACTTTAAAAATAAAATTTTCTAAACAAGTCTTTATTGATATCAGGTAAAGAAATACAACTGAAACATCAAGCTCCAATACTGGGAATTCAAATAGTTGACCACAGTGGTTACCCTCTACCTGATCCTTTAGATGTTCAGTATCAGAGATCTAAGCCAGCAGATCTAACAGGAAGTCATCGAGTTCTAGTGTGTACTGAAGAACAAATAAAGGTAAAATTTATTTTAGTCTATACATTTTCTAACAAAATCATGTATTATATATTGGAATTTATATATGTAACTTGAAACTCTTTATTTCAATTGAACTACATCCAAAAGAGACAAATTTATCATCCATTTCTGAAGATGGAGCAGATGTTACTATGTCATTTATACTGGTTTCAGGTACTTGTATAGATAAGGAGATTGTAGCAAATATTTCCAGAAAAGTTGCTTTTCTAACATCTTGAAAAAAGAATGTAACTTTCTTTTATTCTTCTCAAAAAAGTAACTTTCTCTTATTTTAATCAATAAAATAAGAGAAATAAGAGGGCAATCCCAAAAATGTAACATGGAAAGTCTTCTGTTTTTTGGGGACGTAGTGAAACTGTTAGTATGATTGTTGTCCACACTGATGTGAATGATGCTTGCTACACTCCAAAATAAGCATGTGTGTCTTTTACCGACATGCTCAGTCTTGGCTTAGCAACCATTCAAAATGGGGTTTCCATTGAACACTATCACCAAGTACAAAGTTCATGCATTTATTCACTTTTTTAATGTAAAAGGCATTAAACTCGTTGGAATTCATCACCAATTGGCAGAAAAGATAGGCAGTCAAGCATGGATGTTAAAAACATTTGCAAATGGTGTAGAGAGTTTACAGCTAGTCGTACCAAAATTTGCAAGAAAGTGGTAGACCATCAATTTTCGACGAGGCAGTCATAATGGTTGAGGAAAACATGTAAAGATCAGAGGATCTGTCTGGATGCTATCTGCATGTTGGTTCCTGCGGTTTACCAAAATGCCATCCACAGGATTCTTACAGAAAAGTTGCAGTATGGGAAGGCTGATGCAAGATTGATATCACATATACTGACAGAAGACCACAAACAGCAACAAAGTTGATTCTTCTCATGAATTTCTTTGCTGCTATGCATATGAAAAGGACAATTTTTTGACATAATTGTCACAGGTGATGAAACATGGGTATTCCACTTTATACCTGAGACCAAACAACAGTCATTTGAGTGGCAGCATCCCTCTTTGCCCAAGCCATGAAAATTCAGACAAATGTAGTCTGCCGGTAAAGTCATGGCAGCTGTATTTCAGGACCAGAATGGAGTATAGTATAGTTGGTCAACAGTGTGCTGGAACTACAGTAAAAGCTGACAGGTAATATTTGTTTTGAATGTGAAATACTGAAGAAACTGATCTGCAGTTCAGAACTGGAGGAGAGGTATGTTGAGCAAGGGCATAAGGTAAGACCTCATTACAACACCTGCCAACCTGTCACTCATAAAACCATCACTCTCCTGCAAAACTTGCATTGGAATGTCATCACCTACCCACCATATAGTATGGATTTGACACCTAATGATTACCACCTGTTCCCTAGGCTGAAAGAACATTTGTCTAGAGGCAGTTCTGCTCCAACGACGAGGTGAAAGATGAGGTTCAGTATTTCTTAAAGGACATGCTGGTGAGCTGGTATGACATGGACATTGTAAAACTGCCACAATATATACGAAAATGCATCAACCAAAATGGCATTATATAGAAAAGTAAAGCAGTCTTTAAAGTGATGTAAGCATTATAGAAAATAAACAGTTGTTTTGTATATCTAAAAATACAGGAGACCTTATTTTGAGGATTGCCATCATACATGGGCCATAATAAGTACATTGGTGGGACAAACATGGTTTGCTGACTGCTGTTTGTTGTGTCATCGCTGTCCAAGATCAGAAAAGCTGGCATTGTCTTTGATCAAAGCATTTTAAAAACCAGAAGTTAGTGCATTAATTTTTTCAAAACTGCTTTCTCTGTCTGTAAAAGTGCAATGCCAATAATAGAGACTATTTGGAATAATACCATGTATTGGCAGAGTTAGGTGTATATGTGATAGAACTTACATTATTTTATAATCTTCCAAGCATTGTTTTGAGTGAAACAAGAAATACACTCCATACTTTCTGTTAAATAAATGTGTAAATAAATAAACTGTGCTTATTGTATAAGACTAGTAGGTCTATTCATTTTTTAATACTTCAGTATTTTGTATTCTCCTAATCAATTCAATAATTGATGTATGGAACCTTAGACACCATTTTACTTAGATGATTGGCTGTAGCAGTTGGTCATCTGCAGCATTAAGAAATGAAACTTCGTACTGATATATGTTTTTTGTTCTGTGAATGTTAAATTTCCTAAATTTTAAAAAAATAAAAGAAATGTAAATGATATAGTTATGTGATGTGCAAAATATGGGATGAGTCAAACTGACGTTCATGTTCAGAATTCCTTATTTTGGTGCTTAACATTTTTTATAGTTATTTGGAGATGATTCTTTCATGCTAATTATGTGTATATTGCATTTTTATAGGTCTTCACGTTGCCTAGCATGAAACCATTTTGCAAAAATAAAATCACACTAACAGAAGGTTATCACATCTCTAAAGTTGGATTTTCTACATTTCCAAAAAGGAGTGGTAAGATTTTATCACTGTGCTATTTTTATTATGCTGAGTAAATTTTAAATGTGATTGTTCATCCAAATGCATATTAATGATTCAAGTATCACTTGAATTAATTTGCAATATCTAGTTAAGGCTTTTGTCTTTTCTAGGTGGATTTGATGTAATTTTTGGAAATAAAAAATAGAAGAGATTATGCTGCTTTTAATGTAGTTAAAATTATAAGCATTTAACTTGTAAGTTTTTTTGTTAGGAGGGTGATTTATTTCTTCAGGTGCCAGTTGAATTAATTAGTAGTTTCTATCAAAGAACTCTCTGCTTTTTTTAAAAGGTTGTTCTATCTTTGACAGTCATAGATGGAACAAAAGTAAAGCATTTTGAATTTTAAAGATAGGAAAAACACAACAAACTCAGTTTTAAAAATGCTTTGAAAAAAGAAAGAAAGAAAAGAAAAAAAAAAAGAACTCATATGGTCCTTTTCTCTTCAGGAATCAGTTCCCACCAGTAGCTGAGCAGTAAAGACTTTGAACACTGGTAGTTTGATTTAGGTTTCATTGCAGGTGAACAGATTCATGTAATGTAGATATGAGCTAGTTTCCCTTATAAAGTCCTTCCTCCCCTTAGGCAGATAGCTATCATGTTTCTTGCTATAATGAAAATAAAACTAAACCATCTTTAGTATCATCTTTAGTATGTTTTCCATAAACGTTGCAAAATTGCATCTCTAATTGATGGAAACCAATACTTGAACACAAGATAGGCAATTTAAGATGTATGTTGATAGTGCAGGCTATATAGAATATTTTATTTTACTAGCATTAAGAAATATGCCTTGTGAAAATGTACGTATTTTGCAAAGATTTTAATTAATTAATTAATATTTACTTTAAGTTCTGTAAATAATTTAATGTTAGACAAATTAACACTAAGACAAAATGCAGAATAACAACATAAGAAATCTAAAATGATACTTTCAATACATTTCAAAAATATTTATGTCCTTAAAATATAAGTTGAGTGTAGTCATGTTGAGCATTTAAATCACAAATCATTTTCACCTGGTTGAGACTATCAGAAATTTGCAAGTGTGTTTTGTGTGTATACTGTAGGCTAACGGAAGAAAGCATTAAAATGTACGCTATGCAAAAAAGAAATGGGACAGTTCTATATCTCCCATTCTACTGGGCCGGTTGATGAAATTCAACTTGTGTTTTTTATGTCATGAAAGCGTGACTTAGGATATGTGTTAAATTCATATATAGCATTGTTCTAATATAGGTATTTTGACTCTGAATCAGACTTTTTCTGAATTGACATGCCAATTTTTGTGAAAATTCCACAGGTAGTTTTTAAAAAATTAGCTTTCAAAATTTTAGCTCTTTAATGTTAATTGAATTTGATATATATTTATTAATATCTCTTTTTTTTATCAAGCTTACTTGATTTGTTCTTCCAGAATTCAAAATTTAGGCTTAATCCAAATATAATTCACACATTTTTTTATTTATTTTAAAAATTGTTTATAAATTTTTACCATCATTTTGAAGTAAATGGATTTCTAAGCGCAGCAGCAAAAAAATTAGAGCTTTTTATTCAAAATTTCCTAGGATATACATGAAAAGTAAAAAAGCAAGTAAAATTATATCGCAACCTGTTACATAAAATAGGAAGGGAAAAAAGTGACAGCGTGAAATCATTCATTTACCAGTTGTAGTAGATTTGGATGCATGTATAAGGCTTCAAAGAAATTGAGTTCACTACTTGAATTTTTTAGTCAAAAGAGGCTTTGTCCCTGAGGGACTATTGTTTTTGTTTTGTGATTTTGTGTCGAATCACTCTGAATGTCCGTTTCACTTTTTAAACTGTTGCTACCAAATATTATTGCTCGGTATCATATTTGAAGAAATAAATAATGAAGAACCTGCGTAAATGTATGTATGTTTCTCGCATTGTAATAAAACAACGGTACCTAGAGCCATCCAATTTTGTATGACGTAATCCTAAAGCGAATATGGGCATCTGGAAACCCAAATTTGGAATTTAGTTTATTACCAATTTCATATTTTGTAAAACTTTAACGAATTTTTGATTAACATATTCAAGGATTTCAAAGCAAGCAATGGCAATGTTGTACAGAAAAAACATTTTTATCTCCAGCGCGTGAGACTGTGTATCGGAAATTTTAAAGATATGCTCAATTTAAAATTATTTTGCGTTACTGCTCTTGAACTGAATTTTATAGTTTAAATGCAATAAACATGATATTTAATAAATAAAGGTAACACACAAAATGTTAAAAAGACGCCCCTTTGAACGTAATTTAAAATCTGAAACCTTCCAAATTTTTTCATGTTATGTTAATATTATTATTGTTATTATTATTATTTTTGGTTAATTTTAGTATAACTTATCCATCCTTTACTTGGTATAGTTTCTTTTTTGTGTTCACTTAAGTGCAGAAGAGTATTTTAGATAAACTGCGCAGTTATATATTCCTCTTTCTAATCTATCTTTTAACTATATTTTTTATGAAAAACTATTGATGTATCTTTTTAAAAGAGGTTAATTAAATAGTGATTTTTACTAGTTACCAACATAAGGGAAATTTCTATTAATTGCAATATGTAGCATTAATTTTTACTTAATTCCAGATTTTGAATACGTAAGTTTCCATCTTGCTTATTCAGTAAAGCTGTATCAGTTAATACAAATAATGAAATACAGAGATAAAAAATATTACTTACTACATGACACAACACACTCATTGCTTACAAATCAGCGCACAAAAATTCACATCAAAATTCTTAGTCAGAAAACACATGTCTGTTATGTTATCTTTATGTGATGAATTGTAAGTGCTTTTTTTTTTTTTTTTTTTTTAACCATGATATTTTGTATAATAATGTTTTAAAACTGTGAAGTTTGTGCACCTCATTACTTTTTATTTCAGTGCTTGATTTCATATTATTTTACAATCGCCATGTTTTTCCCTTACTTTTCTTTTCTTGCATGATGTTTTGTTATAACATTTTCCCACTGCATTTTCATCCGCAGTGTTTTTGTCAGACACCATCTATTAGTCTGGCCAGTGCATGTTGAACCTTATTGGCAAGCAATATTATTAAGTTCTACAGAATTAAAGTTTCAAAGTTTATTATTTTTCTTAATAGATTGAATGGAAAGAGACAATCACTTGAAGAAAATAGCTTAAATTTGCTGAAAATGCAGACAATTTTTTAATTAATAGGAGAAGAAAAAATTAAATGGCAAGGAATGTATTTTGATTGTTATCTCGGAAGAAAGTTCTTTATACTCGTAAAAAAATAAACAGTTTAACAAAAAGAGAAAAAATTCTTAAAAGCATTAGCTATCTGATTGCCCTGGCGTAATTTAAAATAATTAAGATTATCTCCCGAAAGATCTCTTTAATTTTTTAAGAAAACTATTACATGACTTTGTCAGTTGGTTAAGATACTGAACATGTCTAGGGAATTTTAACATGTCTAGGGAATAACATGTCTAGGAAAGATTCTACGATTAAATATTTCTTGAGACACTGGTTGTGAATTCATAATTCTTGCTTAAAAATTTAATCAAATGAGATATATAATTTTAGGTAGAACAGTTTTTTTGTGACATGATATAATTTATTGGAAGTGCATCAAACTTAAGTTTTCTGTGGCCTTGGGGGAAGGATGGGGTGAAAGCAAGAAAGAATAAGTGTCAAAGAGAAAAATGTTTAGTTAGCAAATTGTTCAAGGAAAATAAATAAACAGTACATAATTTATCATGAATCAATAGACCACCAATAACCACATATAAATTTTGCTTCAGGAAGCTGTACATTTGAGTTTTTTAAAATATCTGTAGGACATTATTCAGTTTTGTGCAACTACTAATACTAATATTTTCAGTTCTGAAAGAAATGGATTTGCTCATATAATTTTGCCCATTTTCAAGGTCAGTCTCACGCATTACTTTTTACTTCCTTGTATGAAGTAAGGGAAGTATTGTAATCATGAAAAGTTTTGGTTATCAAACCTCAATAGAGGTATCTATTTTGACTTTTTTTTTTTTCCCCCTTCATTACGTATGTATGTGCAGAAAGAATAAAGGAGTCTTTATTTCAAAACAGATTGTGAAAGGGATTCAAAATGGACTTTTTTGTGACATCTTTATGTATGTACATGCTTATCTTACTTAGCTCAAAATCAATTAACCATAGAACTTTGAAATTTCATATCTGGGACTCCTATATTATCTAGTTGTGCTTTTCTTTTTCTTTTTTCTTTCTTTCTTTTTTTTTTTTTATATTGCAGTCAGCAGTACCAAAAGTATATATATCTTACCTGGCTTAAAAATCCTTACCTGGCCTTTATTTTCACAATCATTGATCATGGCCATATTACTTCTAATCCCATAAGTGTTTTAAATAATGAAAATATTCATGTTATGGCAACATCAAATTAAAAAACTAATAATAAAATCTGAATTTTAGTGCAATCTTCCGACTCTTATACTATATTTGGGAATGTTTTATGCTCGTATGCAAAAACTGTAACTGTTCTTCTATAAACACAAATGTCAGCTATTTCTGAAAAGATTTATTAACAGAGCACAGGAACAGCTACCAAGAAAATATACATCAGAACAGAACATTCACTAAAACAAAACTCATTTAGAATTAACATTTAAAATTAACGTTTGAATTATGGGGACATAAATAAAGAAGAACCTATCTTCGTCATAACTGGCATCCGACTGACTGTAGTCAGTCAACTGCCATCTAGTGGCGAAGTCATTCTCTTCACAACTAGATGGTGTTTGATAAAATAGGTTGGTCACAGTTAAATAGTTCTGTTACAAATGCAAGAAATTTGACTCTCATATGACAAAAAATTGACCAGGATATTTAATTTCAAAATTTGCAATTTTTTATGTCACTTTCAACTTGCCTTGAGACATCAGTTTAGTAAGTTGAAATAATTCATGGAAATAAATTTTAAACAAAATGC